TGCAAGACAAAGGCATTGATGCTATGGACTGGCCTGCCCGTTCCCCAGACCTGAATCCAATTGAGCACATCTGGGACATCATGTCTCGCTCCATCCACCAACGCCACATTGCACCACAGACTGTCCAGAGTTGGGGGATGCTTTAGTCTAGGTGTGGGAGGAGATCCCTCAGGAGACTTCCGCCACCTCATCAGGAGCATGCCCAGGCGTTGTAGGGAGTTCATACAGGCACGTGGAGGGCACATACACTACTGAGCCTCATTTTGACTTGTTTTAAGGACATTACATCAAAGTTGGATCAGCCTGTAGTGTTTTTTTCCACTTTAATTTTGAGTGTAACTCCACATCCAGACCTCCATGGATTGATAAATTTGATTTCCATTGATAATTTTTGTGTGATTTTGTTGTCAGCACATTCAACTATGTAATGAACAAAGTATTTACTAAGAATATTTCATTCATTCAGATCTAGGATGTCTTATTTTTGTGTTCCCTTTATTTTTTTGAGCAGTGTATAATTTTATGGTACTACTCCAAAAAAAAGTATATTATTCTTTTGTTAAAACAAGATATTAAATGTCAAAGCCTTAATTGTAACCCAGTAATTCATTGCCTTTTTAAAAAAAATAGACACCACATTTTTAATTTGCTGTAGCTAAATGCTGCAAGAAATCCAGTGAAAAGTAATACTCTGTTTTACTGGAGAAAAATATTCTAAAGACAGAAGTTTTTAAATGCTTACTATACATGCAAACATTTTATCTCCTGGATAACATATTTAAATTTGTTTTAAACCTAGCAGTTAAAACATGCACACACCACTTCACCTAGTTGACAAAGCTGATGGAATGGCTATTAAATTTTCATTTATAACATCCTCCAACAAAAGCTTGATAGGTTACTCCTTTCGGTGCTCAAAAGAATAGAAAATTAGAAGAAGCTGGATAGAAAGAGATTGGTAAAACATACAAGTTAAAAAGCAAGAAATAATATTTTTACAATAAAGACAAATAAAATAATGCTACAAATAGTTTCATATTTCTAAGAACTATTTCCTTTGTAATATGTTTCACCATATCCTATATTTTACCTCAAGGGACAATTTGATAGAAAATAGTATTCAGATAAAACACATTTAGAGCATTATATTCATATGATGTAATTTGGAGACTACATGTTTAGAACATTTTTGTCCCAATAAAAATTTCAATCAAATAGTTTTGAAAGTTTCAGATTGTTTCAAGCTGGACCATCAAATGTGTGAATTTGATTATCACTGGACCAAAGGAATGTTTTTACCTTCAACCTTTTGAGTTGTTAGAAAATATTTTTGAATTTGCTTTGTATTAAGATAAATAATAAATATGTATGCCCATAGGCTCTTTAAAATAAATAAGAGAGAGAGTAATTATTTCAGCATTTCTATAACAGCCCAATATTTAAGATCATTTTCATTTAATACAGGGCAGGAATCCAGGAATAGCTTGGCAGAATGAGGCCAAGTCATCCCCCAAGATACCATCGTGGTATAGCCACCCATTTTGAATATGTAGGGTGAGGCTGCATGCACTTTCAATGAGGGGAGGGGACTTTTCAGCTCAATAGCACAATGCCTAGACAAGGTCAGACCTAATACAATGTATCTAGGAAGGATTTGATATGTCCTCCCACCTCAATAGATTCTAACTACACATGTAAATACCTAAATATAAACTCTGTATGAATAATCAGAAGCAAATACACTGGTTTCAGTGCAAATTGTTCCCATCTATAAAAGCATAGATCACAGGGAGACATGACCCAACCAGTTAGTCATTATTAACTATTTTTGCAATCTAATCCTACAAACACAATGATAACATCACAGATTTCTGAACTTCTCCTGTTTAGAAAATCATTCTTATTTATGAATAAATGCTTTCTTAAAAATATCAATATTACATAATAAATCTTTTTTATTGCACTGCTCCTTCTTTTATTTCTTATGTATTGGAATTGATAAATTAATATTCTTTCCCAAAGAAATGTTTTTGAGATTTCATCTTTCAAATCCTACTCAATACTAAAAGCTTTAGGTCTTTCAATGCTTTTTTTAAAATTTTGGCACATTTGCATTTTCCCAATACTGTCAGTATGGATTTGATACGTTCCAAATACTTATTTTCTCATCAATCACTGCTTGGGCCTTAAATAATTATTAATAATATCAATCAATTACCAATATTTTGCTCTGAATTATTTTGCACTCCAGGAAACTGCCCCTTATCCTTAAATGCTGTCACTATATCTTACTGCACGTAACAAACATTAATTCATATTGCTGTAAGTCATAGTAAACATTAAAATATGATTAGAAAATTTAAATAAATAAGAACCTGCTCTTTTAGCATAATTTCTTACCAAAGTGGACAATAGTAGCAACAACTCATAGAAGTACAATTAACTTATAGAAGTTAATTGTACAAACAGCATTAGGTTTTTGTAAATTGTAATTGTAAAATAGCAATAGCTGTTTTAAAGTTTTAAAAAAGGAAATTGTGTTTAAATACAAACCTTATTTAGCCTACAAAAGTCTTTTTTCCTTCCAGTATTTTAAGGCTTATTTGCCTTAAAATTGAATGAGACATGTTCATACATGGAATTTTAACAGGTAAGTTTAAACTCACAAATATAGTTTATCATTATGCTGTAACATAGAAAGATCTACTGATATGTAATTGAACAAATGAAATTCAGTGTTAACACTTAAACCAAGTCACACATAAACACATATAAAAAAACCTAGTGGTATCATGAGCCTATTGATTTTGCAGAAAATACATATGATTCTCTTCCTGGTAATAAGAGATATAAAGATATAAATCTTCTGATTTTGCAGCTTTTGTCAAGTGAAGGACAAAGTCATATTTATAGAACAAAAGCAATCAGTTAAATATATTATTTAATACTATAATCTAAAATAAATATATTTAATATTTCTTTTGGCATGTCAAAAATAAAATACAACACTCAATACACACACACACACACACAAAATAGTACTCAGAAAATTCACTTTTTAAAATAAAAATGAAAAATATACATTAAATTTTGCATGCAATGGACTGGATATGGAGAGCTATTTTGGTAACCTCAAGGAAAGTTCTATTTTTTATGATATAGCATAAAACTGAAAGTTCCTTTTTATATGACATGCACAACCCAACCTTAGGGCATGGAACTAGTTAGGATCATTCTGTTCACTCCCATTCAGCCCATATATAGTCTAAGAGTTTCTTTTTTGTGGGTCTCAGAGCTTGGGAGAATCTGCTCCTTACTGAGGCAGGAAATAAAATCTAGAGCCTCAGATCTTTTTCTAAAAGCAGAAAAGAGTTTGTTTTCTGATTCTGGAAGGCAAAGCTCACCTAACCTAGAATATACATATGCATAAAAGGGGTAAGGTTTAGATCTGAAGACCAAGTTCACCTCTTTGCAGATTTTGACCCCACATCTGGTTGCTGTTGGCTTACTGCAAGCTACCTAGATCTCTGTAATAAAAATTAGTAGGTGAGACAGGATTTCCTTTGTAACACAGATTCCAAATAAGTGATATTGACATTTCAAATATATTAAAGAATCTTCTTGTAAGAAATGTTTCTCAAAATATTTTATTTTTTTATCAGATATACATAAATTAAATATGGGAACAGGGATACTACAGCTGCAGTTATTCCACATTTCTGCAGAAAAAAAATGCTAGGTAAAGCCTTGAACAACAAAAGACTACAGTAATCATAGCTTCTATAACAAGCTATGTGAGATCTTGATAAAAAATGGCTGAAATAATTTTTAAAAATCATAAGAACATAATAATCATATTATGATGATTATATAAAATATAATTATGATTATCATAATTATTGTATGAGAATCAGATAACTTTGAACATAATAGTTTAACAAAAATGTTGCTAGTTTCACAGAAATAAATGTTCTACAACTTTTCATATTCAATATCTTATGCTTGTCTAGAAGGGGTAAAACTAGTTTTAAAAACTAGAAGAAACAGAAAACTGGGTATAACAAAGTTTAAAAAATAAATAAAAACATATTATGATGCATATAATTTGATCAAGAGTAAGAGCATAATTGAATGCATGCCTATTTATAAGCTCAAAGAGTTCAATAAGACATATTCTGTAATAGTTAATAGAGCCCTTCCTTGAGGGAGATGGGAGGTCTAGAAATAGGTAAAGGTATAAGTTTCCCTTGTCCAGTTGTGTCCAACTCTAGGATGTGGTGCTCTTCTCTATTTCTTGGCCAAGGGAGTCAGCATTGTCCATAGACTTTTTCTGTGGTCATGCGGCCAGCATGGCTATACGCCAAAGGCACATGGAATACCGTCACCTTCCCATCAAAGTGATACCTATTAATCTACTTGCATTTGCATGCTTTCAAACTACTAGATCAGTACAAGCTGAGGGAGGAACAGGAGCTCACTCCATTGTCGTGGGGTGTCACAAACCCGGGCTGTCAGCTTTCTAGCCCCTGTGATACAGCGTCTTTAACTGTTGAGCCAACATGCTCCCTGGTCTAGAAATATGAAATATACCTAACTAACTAACTAACTAACTAACTAACTAACTAACTAACTAACTAAATAAATAAATAAATAAATAAATAAATAAATAAATAAATAAATAAATAAATAAGCTAACATTAACTAAATTAACCAAATTCAAGGGGACCTAATTGTCAGTAATATGCATTCTGTACATTCATTCAAACCAAAGCAACTAAATCTTTAGTGAAGTAAATAGATCACATATTCAGTGGTACTAATGCTACTGCTTCTTATGTTTAGTACCTGCTTCTTATGTTTAAATGCTGACACTGGATCTTACTTCATACAACAAAAAATAGGAAATATCCTCCTCATTTCATTAAAAACCTGAAAGGAAGTTTTCCCTCTATGAAGGGGGATTTAACAGAAGTACCCTGCAGAAACCATACTGAGTACACCTTACTCATATTTTCTTCATCATCTATGTTCATCATGAAATAGTTGTTCAGGCTTCTATACTGGTGCAGATGGCTTTTTCCTGAAAGATAAAACAGAATAATTTTAGTATGTTTTAAAAAATAATATTTGGTATTATCAGCATGACTATTAAAATATATATTACAATATATATTATACAGCACTGTGTTTCATATAAATGTTTATTCACATAAATTACATTCCAATACTTACTGATAATTGGAATTATCCCAGATGAGTATATGTTTTTTAATTGCAAATCCAGTTCTGTTTTTAAGCAACTTTAAACAAGGTATTTTTTATTTTACTTTATACCAGCGGTTCTCAACCTGGGGGTCGCGACCCCTTTGGGGGTCGAACGGATTTCACAGGGGTCGCCAAAGCCCTCTCTCGCCCCCCCCCCCACGCCTTCACTCACCCTCACCCTCTGCCTTTGTTGGATCGCCCGGTCGCCGTTCGCTTACCCCCCCCACTCCCAATCTATTGCTGCCTCCAGAGTCCCAGCTGGTGGCTAGAGGGAAAAAAAACTTTAAATTCTTGCCACGGGGCTTCAAAGAGCTAGCTTCAAAGAGGTAAATTCCTGGAGCAAATTTTTTTCTCCCTAGCTATGCTGAAAAGGGAAATTGAAAGTAAGGAAGCAGGGTCTTTGCTGTAACGTGACAAAATGAGGCAGAGAGATTTCTTTTTCCTCACCAAAAAAGGTAAATGCAAACAATGGGAAATTTAGGGCAAAAGAGGAGAGTTCAAGATTTTAAAACACAAAAGAAAAAAAGCTCTATTTAACTAGGGAATTGTAATAATTGAGATACTATTAATTGTATATTGTGTTGAAAGCAGAAATGGTTAAGTTGTGGTTTGGAGGAATATATGGGGGAAATTATTTGGTTTATTATTATTGGTAAATATAATTAATTGATTTGTAAGAAATTGGATTGCATGGAAATAATTGGAATATTCATGTTCATATTGATTAATATACAAAAAAGATAGTTATATAACTAATTGATTTATATTAAAATGTTGAATTTGTATTAAACAACTGTATTACATAATTAAACAATGTGAGGATGGATATAAAAATAGATGACAACGGGGAGGGGTATAATATAGAATAGAAGGGAAAAATTGAATTTGATTAAGATTAGAGATGAGGATGAAGGGTAATATTGGTTTTTTAAAAAAATAGATGAGGAATAAATATGGTAAAAAGGAAATATAGAAATTGTAAATTTAATTGAAATGACTAAATACTGTGTTGGAAGAAATATCCTTCTGGGTTCTGCTCCAAGTGGGAAAAAAGACACTGGAAACATGGAGACTGCTTGGAAAGATGGTTTAATGGTGGACAGGATCACATGACTTGATGGGGCCCATTGTGTTAGTTTCTGTTGCTATTGTGTTGCAAATGTCCTTTGACAAAGGATTGACTTTCTGCCTCTGGCCCATTAACAAAGGGTGGGGGGCAGGAAGGTGGGAGCTGCTTTGTCTGTAAAATATGCTTCTCCATTTCTCATCCAGGGAAATATAATATTCTGCCTTTTTAATATTTCCCAAAATATTTCATTCTTCTAGGAAAGGGGTGGGTGCTAACCTCCTACAACTGTTTAAATTTGTGAACCGGCCAAATACTCTGTTCAAAGAAAATATGTTGTATGTTTGTATGTGTGTTTCTAATTATTGCTATTTATTTCTATTTGTTCTCTTTTATTCTTTAAAGTTTAACAATTCATTCTTTATCTTAATATTTGTTTGGGGTTGGCTTTCTTCCCCTTTCATCTTTTTTATTGTACAGCAATCTTTCTCCTCAAACCTACCATCTCTGTCTTTTCTTTCCTTCTTACTTTCTCTTCCCCCCCTCTTCTTCTTCTCCCTACTTCCTGTTTCTTTCTCCTTCTCCTCCTCTCTTCCTCTCTTACCTTCACTCCTACTCTAATTTCCCTTTCCTTCCTTCATCCCTCTCTATTGCTGTATCCTTTTATGCATATGGACTACTCAGAGGGCTGAAAAAGTTATTTTTGACTGGTCCTCGCACTTTTGACCAGTCCTCGAACTTACGACTGTCCTCACAATTTACGTTTTTGCCCTATCTTGTCACCATGTTGAAGAGAAGCAGTTGTGAAATAAGTGACATGGTTGTTAAGAATGCTGCACAGGCATAAATGTGAGGATGGTCATAAGTGTGAGGACCAGTCAAAAGTGCGAGGACCTGTCAGAAATGACTTTTTTCAGCCCTCTGAGTAGTCCCTATACACATAGCCATGGCCACCCGGTCACATGACCAGCTAGCCATGCCCACCCAGTCACATGACCTCCAAGCAACGCCCACAAAATAAGCTACGCCCACAGAACCGGTAGTAAAAAAATTTAGAACCCACCCCTGGTTGGGGGTCACCACAACATGAGGAACTGTATTAAAGGGTCGCGGCATTAGGAAGGTTGAGAACCACTGCTTTATACTATTGACTTATTTAAAAACCTGGTTGGCTGGGTGTGTAGATTTTCCCTTTAAATCCCCACAGTAACTCTCTGACAATGATAAAAGTGAGTCAAGATCATTCTGCCTGACTGGTGAAAAGGGAAGATACACCTCGATTACTTTCTATCCTTGCCTTCAGAAGTTTTGGGAGCTTCATCACTGGAAGCTTTCAAGAGAGACTGGACTGCCATCTGTCAGAAATGGTGTAGGGTCTCCTGCTTGGGTGGAAGGTTGGACTAGATGACCTACAAGGTCACTTCCAACTCTGTTAATCTGTTATATATCTGTTATTTATTTATCCTCTAATTACAAAGCAGGCAAGTCTCCTGAATGAGCAGGGGACAAGATGGACAAGATGACCTCCAAGGTCCCTTCCAACTCTGTTACTGTTACTATCCTGGATTTCATACATTTCTTGCTCCCTATTTCATTAGCTCTGTCTTTATTCAGTCATAAATTATCTGAGCTTGAATCAACAGACCATGGTTAGTACTTGGATAGGGGAACTTTACCCAGGGAGATAGACTAGACTGGATACTTGAAAAAAATATCCTACCGGTTGTAGATAGAAATGACACTGATTCACTTAAACAGAATACTTTCATACATTTTTGATAAAGTGTTTGCATTTAATGTATTTACCAATGTAAAATATCAATACAATTAAAGAAATATTTTAAAGTTAGCACAAATAACCACACATGGGGAGGCAGGATAAGGCCCAGAGTCTCCTTATCAATGAAATGGGAGACACATAAAATTAATAAATAAAAATAAATTAAAATATTATACTCCTGTAGGAAGAACAACTTAGAATTCTGCCCTAAGTGAAACAGTTAATAGGTTAGAGAGGTTATCTTTAAAATATTTTATTTAGATACGAAATGGCTTATTCTAAGTATGGAATCTTAAAAGTTGCTTAAAAGTAGCAGAGTTAAAATAATGCAGCAATAGTAAAAGTATTCCATCTACAGTTCTTGATGGGTTGTATTTTCCTGTAAGAACAGGTATACAGCTTGCACATTATCCTGGATTCACACTTCTTGCTAGAGTAGCAGGTAGAAGTCTTTTCAAGGAGAATCTTTGACCAGCTTTGGTGGTCCACCAGTTGTGAAATTACTAGAACAAGGAGGCTCTGAAAACCATGATTAGCAGCCTGTCATGTCCTGGTTAGACAACAGCAATTTGCTCTCCTTCAGACTGCCCTCAAGTCCTCTATAACTGTCGGATAATGTAACTGCCTATTTGCTGCCCATTGGAAAACAATTTAGCCACAGTTATGTTGCTGGAACTGTATTGGCTGCTGTTGAACTTCTGGATCCAATCTAAGAGGTTGATCATTATCTATGTAACGTACCCCACAGCTCCAGTTTTTGTTATCTTCTGGACTACCTATTCTACACAAAGGCTTGCCCTCCCACAAAAGATCATGATGGCCTCCTTCTTTTAAGATTACATTTTTCCACAAAACTTCTGGTGAGCAAAATACCAATTAGGTGGATAATGGGAGAGTTTTGCGTAGTAGTGGTTGCTTTTAATTAGTTTATATTACTAAGTTTTTGATTGTAAGCTATCTGGAGTCAAAAAAGTATACAGCATACAAATTTATCCAAAAATAAATAGTGAAAGAATAATGAAGCTATGCAAAACATGCATGATCCAATTGTATGGGAATTATATGCAAGTTATGAAACAATAATAGACTATAAATTTGTCTGGCCATGGCTGCTATTCATAGTAGGTTGATAAATAAGGCCTCATGGCTTTATACATAGATGTTTTAATACTTAAATATGACATAGAAAATCTAAAGTTTTATTTTGAGAAAGCAAGTCCATAAATCGACCTATGGGATTTAGGGAAACTGACCTCCAATTCACTCTCCTAGATGCAGATCAAATCACAAAATATGTTCTAATAGCAATAGCACTTACTTATACACTGCTCCATAGTGCTTTAGAATGCTCTGTGGGTGTTTTACAATGCATATTGTCCCCAACAATTTGGGTCCTCATTTTACCAACTTCGGAAGGATGGAAGGCTGAGTCAACCTTGAGCTGGTCTGGATTAAACTCCTGGCTAAGGACAGAATTTGCTTGCAATATTGCATTCTAGCTATGGCACCACCAGAGCTCCTCACATCCTGTAAGAGCTGATATGACCATAGCAGCCATACATTTTTTTAAAAATGCTGTTGTTTACATAAACAGCAAAACGAAAAGAGAAGATGTTTGATTCATCTAATAGGATGTGATAAATCAGCTGCCCACAGATGAAAGAGGTAAAGATGAGGCTGTTCACTGTATTGCTACAACTTCACTTGACCTAACATTAATCTTTCATCACTTATGCTTTCCCTTTAGATCAGCACCCCACAACCTTTTGGGCACCAGGGACATTTCTCTGAAAGGGTTTTTCCATGGACCGGAGGAGTCATAGTTTGTGCACTGCCTACATTCTGCGAACAGGCCTTCGCTTGTTTGTGTGGCCCGATTTCTGGCATACCACGGACTGGTGCAGGTCCATGGATGGGGGTTGGGGACTCCTGTGTTACATAGTACCTTTTTTATCTGTCCATTCCCTTTCCAACATATTTCTTCATTTTAAAAAACAAACTCAGATTCATTCCCAATTAATTTTTCTTGCATGCCTTCAATTACAATTAATTTAACTTTAAAATAATAATAAATTTCAATAGAAAACTTTTGTTTTCTATCTAAATCACTGTGTCTTGTCTTCATTTGTCTTTTTTCTACATATTAGCTTACAAAATATTTCAGGACCCACATTGTCCCAAAACAATAATTTAATTCATATGTTCTCCTTGTAAACTAGAGGCAGACCCACTTTGGTCAAACTGTTAGGCTAACTTTTACCCACATTCCATTATTTTCTTTCTTACCTTGTATCTCTTTTTCTGCCCTCATGATGTGTGGTATTGCTGTCCCTAGAATGAAAGGAGGCAGAGGCATTAGGGTCAGAGTTGTGACTGACTCTGCCTCTTGTGATTTCCCCCAAATTAAATGGGCATTGTTGGTAGTTAGGGATATAAATCAGCTAAAGGTAAGTAAAAAGACCAGGTACAGCATGGCTAGTAGTCTTGTTACTACTAATACAGATGTCAAGACTGTCATCTTTGGCAAGAAACCTCCATAAGGAAAGCTTCATGTCTCTACAAGACCCTGAAGTCTCTATTACTATTGAGAAAGGTTGATAATGAAAGAGGAGGATGTTTTTGAAAGCTGCATCAATCCCCAGAGAGAGGTAAGATTATAATATTCCAACACAAGAAAGCAAAGAAGGAAGCAGAGACACCTTCCAGTTATATACTGATGTCCCCTTATTTTATCAGGAACAGGAAGCAACTCAAGCCCTGCCTATGCAATCTAACTTACTCTACAAAACAGTGAGCACAGAGGAGGAGATATGGCATTGTACAATAGTTCTAACAGTCTGATGATGTGTCTAAAGAAGCATTACCAGTCTGGTCTACTACCAGTAACAGCAAAACATTGGGCCGCAAGGGCAAGATTTTAAAATAGCAAGGAGAAGTCAAATCAAGGGTGGGTTCTACTTACCTCCGCTACCAGTTTGCAACAGGAGCGCATATGTGCACTTCTGCGCATGCGCAGATTGTTCATGATGACGTCCGGATGGGTGGGCGGAGCCTCCCGCCGCCATTACTACCGGTTCGCAAGAACCGGACTGAACCGGAAGCAACCCACCACTGAGTCAAACAGCTTTCACAACTATCCACTATTCTGTCCTCTAAATACTGAAAGAACAATCATATCCCATTCCAATTGGAAGAAAAAAAATGAGAAGAAATTTAGGAAACTAATGTGAATGCATAGGGGTTTTTTGACTGAACTAAGACTTAAAACTAACTGCAAGAAATATAACAGCAAAAAAAAAGGGGGGGTGGCTTTGTTACTAGTCAGAAGGGGGGGAAGGAAGGGGTGAGTCTATTGCTAAGAGATAAGAGGGTAAGAGATCATGGGGAGAGCACAATGCTCCATTCCTATTCTGCATCAATCTGTTTCCCCAAAGGGAAACTGTATTCAAATGGGATTTAAGCAGACTTTTTGTCACAATAGACTTGGAGATTCCATTTGTAATAACTGATCCTCAAATACAATAGGTACCAATTTGCAATTTCTGTCTTCTGAGCATACAGAATTGTCTGGCTAAAATTTGAACCAGCAAATTTGACTATCTGAAATCTCCAAATTTATCTCATAGATTAAAAATGGTAGACTCCCTGGGAAAGATCTAATTTTAATTGAACGATTACAGTCCAACATCAACTGGTAAATCCCAATTTTGCATACATGGGAAGCATATTTCAAATATCAATTGTCTGTTGTAAATCCATATCATAATTCTGATTTTTTTAAAAAGATACTTTAAAAAAATCTAACCTTTGCCCAATTAGTCTGATGGGCATTATAAACAAGTCTATTTTAGAAATCTCCACCTAGAACTGGTGGATTGGTTGATACACGGTATTATCATAGGATTGGAGCAAGCTGGCTTTCTTTAGGGAAATGAGATCAAGCTTAGACTTTCCAAGTGTAGTCTAACCAAAGGTGCATTTCTTATTCCCTATATTGGGCACAATAACCAGAAACAATTATAGGGGAAACTGTTTGCTCTTGCCACCTCAATCAAATGACTACTTGCCCTTATCAATGCTCTTTTAGCATAATTCCATGTAGATTTTATATTCTTGGTGCCCATATATCCACTGATAAAGAAGTGAAACAAGTATGTAAGTGACCCCCACCCTTTATGTTCTGTTCTACAAACACTCATAGATGCAAGCCCCATACTAGCCAGTAGAAATTCTCCTTTATGCAGAAGACATGACCATTCTTTGTACATTCCTAGTACAGTACTTATGGGGAGAACCTTTAGAGTCTTGAACACTGCATAGTAGGAATAACGAACTGTAATAACAATGAACTTAAAATCAACTACACTAAAAAAAATACTTGTTTTATCTAGAAATGCTGTATCATTCCTTTAAACAACAGATAAATAATTTAAATATCACAGGATTTCAACATCCAGAAAAGATCAACGATTACTTTGTATTTTCAAGATGAAACAATTTAATCCTGACATCAGGATGTTGTGTTGTCAGGATGACAACACAATTGTCAATTAGGATAGACAACACAAAAGTTATAAGTTACTTAATTTATGAATCCCTGGCCTAGAAATATTGCTCTGAGACCCCTCTTGAAACAATTCAGTCTAAATTCTTAAGGGGTTTATTTGATGTGCCTCTATGTGTTTCTAATCCTATACTAAGGCTAGAAATACAGCTGGCTTTCACACAGGTCTCTAAATGGCTCATTTGCTTCAATTATTCACTTAAATTGATTCACTTTAAGAGTGCTTGCGTTTTTCTGACTCTTTCTAACAATTTTGTATCTACATGATCCAAGAAAATTAAACTGCTTAAGTCTTGTGATTAATCCTTATCTTACATATTGAATATATTATATTTTTACAAAATTTGATCAGAGATGAAACAATAACCCTTTGACATATTCTTCCAGAAATATCTCTGTTGTAATCTGAATATATATAACTCACACTTCATCATTGGATGTTTTATGGCAGCCTCCTATCACATGCTCTATCATATAGTGGATAAGCCAATGAATTGCAAAATTTTACACAATTGTTTTTGTTGTTCACACTAGACTGATATAAACACTATAGAATACAACTTCCCACCTAAAGATCTTCTTAACTATTTAATTAATTAATTAATTAATCTTACGTGAATCTTAAGAGAATCTTAAGCACTAATTTAAAAAAGTTGACTATCTTCTGAGAAGTCTGTTCCAATGTTGAATAGCTCTTACCATTACCATTTTTATGTCCATTTGAAATCTTTTTTCTTACAATTTCAACCCATTGCTTCTTCTTTCCTAGAATTGTACTTAATCAGTCCATCATACATGATTGCTCTGAAGGTCTCCATCTTCACACAGTATTCTTTCATTCAGGGTAAACAAACTCAAAGCCTTCAGTCATTCCTCATTTTTTCCCAGGCTCTTTATCTTGGTTGTTACCTTCCAGACATTGTCCAATTTGTCACTGTCCTTACTATAATGTGGTACCCAAAACTGGATACAGTATTCTAAACACCATTATGTCATTTGATCAACACAGAATAGAGAGAAACAAAATTCTCTTGATTTTGACACTATGCTTCAATTGATGCAGCTTAAGACTACATTGTTTTGCTTTGTTTTGCTTTTTTCATTGCAAATACATCATACTATAGACTCAGGTTCTGCTTATGATCCATCAGAACACCCAAATCTTTCCACACATGCTGCTGCCTAATACAGTTTCCTCATCCTATAATGCCTTTGATTTTTTCCTTTCAAATGTAACTCTTTTGTGTTTGCCCCTGTTGAAATTCATGTTGCTAGTTTCTGCTGATTGACTCAGTTTGTAAAGATCTTACTGAATCTCTTATTACCATCCTTTAAATTGTCTGATAATAATAAGAAAGAACTGGAGAAAATAGGAATAGAAGTGTGGCAAAAGAAAGCCAAGATACTACCAAATGGTGGTTTCCAATTTCAAACCCATATCCCTATGATGCAAATTCCCACCAGAGCACTGGTCCTTCCTCCCTACCTCCCTTTTGCTAATTGCTATGATGGACAGAGGGTCTTCATAGCAGAGCCACATTAAAACATTAAATATCTTAAAGTAACCCCTTTATGGATTTATTGAAAATACGTTCTGCCAGGGTGCCCTCCGGCCCTGAAGGAGATAACTGGTTGAAAAGATTGTGTCACATAATCAAACCACACTAAGCCATCCAATCGCTCCTCATATTCTGACAATTAGAATATTTATACCCTAGAGCAAATGGTTGCCTGCTTACTAAATTTGAAAGGATGGCTAGGACTAAGACTATCAGAACAAACAGCAACATCTGGATGTCAGTACCTATCCTCCCCCCCTGCCATCAGAACTGATGAAGCTTCTTGGATAAGAAGTGAAACATTTTTGTCTTATTCCTCAAGGGGGGGGGAGTCCAGTTCCCTTTTGAAGAAGGAAAAAAAAAGTACCTTCAAGACAATTATGATCTGGATGACAGAATCTCCACAGACATTTGGATCAGGAACAGTTGGTGCAGGCATTTAAAAAACTAGAAATTTGGGGATGTGGGAATGAAATATTCTTTTCCATCTTTGGAGCTAAATGCATTTTTCATTTCATCCACCCTCATGCTGCTTATTGATTACTTTTGTTGCTTTTTTTTTCAGTGTAATCAACTGATACTTTTTATTTATAGTCAAGTATGAGAAACAGAATGCTGAAACAATTTTAAATGGAATTTTAAGTTACTGCTCAATTTGGACAAAAACTACAGCATAACGTTCTTTAAAGACATGTAAAACTCACAGTTTATTTAAAAGATTTATGCCCATTATTTATTTAATTAATTTATCAAATTTATTTGCCACCCATATCACAGTTCAAAGCAAATCTGACCATCTTATAGCAAGATAAAATTAACAGATATTAGTGTCTATAAAACATTCTTACTAACATTTAAAATCACTAATACTTTAGAAATTGGCATAAATGCCCCCTGGAAATTCACAAATGAACTCAACAACTACTGTATATCCCAAGCAATGTGAATTAACTTTTTGTTCTCCCTTTGTTTATCTTGGTCAAAAAGCAGAAATAATAGCTGGTCAAAAAGGTTTGTTGATAGCAGCTTAACTTCACATTATTGTGGGAAACACAAATATTTTAATGTTTATTTGATAATGGTTCTGTCATCCTGAATACTGTGTCAGAATACAAGAAACAGATTGGGAAACATAGAGAGAAAAATGAAATATAATAACAATATACACTGGCTCAAGATACAGAAGGATCTCAACAGATTTGAATACT